ACACAACAACACAAAGACACAAAGACACAAAGACACAAAGACGGATGCCTCTGAGAGAAAACCTGCTCTCGGTCACACGTCCGCTGCTGTGGCAGTTTCTGACCCCTGAGACGAGACCGGCTATAAAACACAGAGAAGCTTCATATGAGACACGAAACGACAACCACTCGTTAAAGAATTATGCAATTTAGTCGAAATTAGTCTGAATGTCTGCTAATGTGTGGGCGCCGCAGTCTGCGGCAGGAAGCTCCTGTGGTCTCTCCATCGATAAAACAGCTCACTAGGTTATTTTCTTGGGGTCTGTGGTGCGTCAGCATGTAGAGCACTGATGATTGTGGGTATAACGTCCTGTGAGATGGAAGTGTTGGTATTTCCAGTGGCTAACAGTACGTGTAACGTACCGGCAGTTGTCCTCCCGTCCCTCGATAGTAGGAATCAGAGGAATGCTTCTTTTTCAGTGATTAGAAATATTTGCTCGTTCTCACACTTTTGCATTTTGTCACGCGTCTCTCTCTTGATTAGCTTCAACACATCGCTGCTTCTTTAAATTACGGTTGTTGTTTTAACTGTCACTTTTGATTTCCCCTCCAGTTTAAAAGCCCCCGTGACAAATCGATGTACTACAACTATTTTCTCAATCCACTGATTCTCGTAAACATTTCCCCAAATAAGAGGAAATAAATGCTTCTCCTCATCTTTTCTTTGCCTCTCTTTGTTCTGCGCAGCCCCGACTGGATGCACCGAGTTAGGTAGCATATACTAAAACCAAACGCCGTGCAGGAGAATTAACATTCTAATTAAAATCTAGTTAGACTTTGATTTGGCAGATAATTATACTCGTGTGTTGCTGTTCTCAGGACTATTCAGATTTGATGAGGTGTGTTAGTGGTAATTACCTCACTGATATGGAGTCGTGTGACAGCACAATTTCCACTCAGAGGCAAAACAAAAGAAAATAGATTTAGTTAGTGTGTGAAATCCATTTGAAGGAGACGCTGCGGTTTGAGGAACTGGTTCTTTTACTCTTTAAGGTGAGATCAGAATAAAAGAATGAAGCAGTCAGGATTTCAACTAAATGTGGTTCATGGATGTCAGTGTCACTGTCCCGTCTTGAGACAATGTCTGTCTCACATCTGTCCACTGTATGTACAGAACTGTGATTGTGCAAGAAAGCAGATGAGTGTGTGGACCCATGAGCTCACTGATTTACAACGTGAGTGTCTGTCAGTGTTTTTATTACATTTCATAGCCTGAAGTCAAATCCTCTGCCAGCGACACACGCCTTGTTCAAACAGGAGGGGTGAGGGATCAGATAAGACCAAACCTGGAATTTCCTGTACGTCTTACAACGCGAGGAGAGCTGTCACTAGTTTGATGTAACCTGAGGGCAGGGGCAGACTGGGACAATTATTCAGGCCGAGAATTTCCCTCCTTACCAGGCAAACATTTTTTACACAAAGCACCAGACCGCAGGTTTTTTAGGCTAACCCTGTTTGTTGATGTAACGGTTATCTCCAGTAAAATGTTCTGAAACTTGACTCACAATGGGGGTCACCATGAACACTGCCAGCAGAAACACGGCAGTTATGAAATGTAATTACTCATCTAGATGCAACAGGTACAACTGTGAAAACATTTGAATCATCCATCCTGGTTTTCCTGGAAGACTCCTGGTTTTGGAATGCCGCTCGGCCACATGTTCATGTTGCAGTCGGTTAAAAGCTCGGCGAGTGGCGGCGGCAGGGTGATGAGAGACGGCTTCGGTTTTATGCAGCTCCGTGTTGCCAGGTTTAAATCAATGAGCGGAGCGATGCACCCAGTCTGCCACGTCTGGGGATTTTAAATCAAACAATGAACCATCCATGCTGAAGATGGAGGCACCTGCAGGTTCCTTGATGTGTCTTGAATAAAAAACATAATTCAACGTCAAACTGAAAATCGCTCTTGCACTGTTAAATATCATGTCTGACCACAGACTGTGGATTAAGATGGACGACGTGTTTCCACTTCCTCCAAATGTCCAGAAATGAAGCTGAAATGTCCCCAACATGAACGCTGCCATCCTGCACCTGCATGAAGTCATTTTCTCTCTCCTATTTAAGCATTAATTAAAACCACCACAGGGAATCAAACCCTCAACCTTCGCTGTGTGAGTCAGTGCATTAGTGTTGCAGTTTACAAAGTCCGTAAAAATCTGAAGAGAAATAAAATGAAGTGTGGATTTTGTTGACGTGACATGATGAAGAGGCCTTGAACAGAAGACGGAGCAGATGTTATTGGGTGTGTGAGCTCCAGCTGGACTTCACACTGATGCTGCCTTTAAGAGCTGTCGGACAGACTGGAATCCAAACTCATATAAAACTACTATTTACTAATAGTACTAATTCCACGAATGTCGTTCTGTCTGTAAGTGGAGTGAATATCTCGTGAACGTTCATATTATCGACTTCATTGTCTTTTGTGAATTGACAGATAAAGTGCGGTGGTGAGTTCGGTGCCATTTGGACACGTGATGGTTCAATATTGATAAAAATTATATAAACAGGCAAACAGCTCTGCAGCAGTGAGTGGGGGCGGGGCAGTCCGTCTTCAGTCTGCAGACTGAGCTGCAAATAAACCAGGTGGGATGAGCGCAAAGCTTTCTAACTTCACTCTGCTCCATTGACTTAACGTCCAGCAAACACACAATTGAAGGTGACAACAGTATCTGTTTGAGGAGGACTCACTGATGAACAATAATTCTGAACTCTGCGGCATCAACCCAGGACAAGCACACAGATTTTAGAATGAGCACTCCACTAGTTTGTGTATTTCTGAAAAGTATTTATCACGAATAAATAAAAAGTTACATGGTTCATGCAAACTAAAAAGATCTCCTGCGTTTCTTTAATTCTGCAAATCATAACAATGTGAGGTAAGTGTAGGTCAGGTGTTGATCGCTCAGATATCCGAGCTTTGTAGGCGCACTTGAACGCAGCCTAGCTTTTCTCTGGACCCTGAACTTCTCCTTCAGCTGCTGAAGTTTGCTCGGAAGTTTTCTCAGCTCGCTGAAGTTTGCTCGGAAGTTTTCTCAGCTCGTTTCTCTCAGGTCGGAGAAGTTTGTCTTTGAAGTTTCCTTTGAAGTTCCCTTGGCTCGTTTCCTTCAGCTCGGCGAAGGATCCTCGGCTCGTGTCCTCGGCTGGTGTCCTCAGCTCTGGAGTGTTATTGTCCTGATGCTACAGAGGATGTGACTGAACCGTGACTCAGGACCATGAAGACACTTCACGCCTGCTGACGTCAGAGCCGTGGTTTCCTTTATTGCAGGTCAGTGTGTGCGCTCAGTTTGTTTTGGAGGAAGAACTTTGACATCAACTTGAGTCTCTTGGACTTTTTAAAGCTGCTTCCTTCTGTATTGCACCAGTCAGTGTCCCCGCAGCCAGAGACAATGTGGCGGAAGCTCTCGGCACATGTGACGGCGTTGGGTGATGTGTTTGAGGGCCGGAGTCGGTGGAGCTCCGCGGCGGTGGCCGTCATCCTGCTGGGCATGTTGGCCGCGTCCTGCCGGGCAGAGGAAGCCTCCTGTCACGGAGCCTACGACCTGTACTTCGTCTTAGACAAGTAAGTGAGAGACGGAAGAAGTGAAGGAGACAAAGCGTGTGTTGTGTTTATGTTGTGCATAGAGACAACCGAGGAAAGAAGGTTCGATACCTGTGAGAGTCACTTAAAGTACAGACACCATGATGTTGACTGAATCACTGCTCCACATGTGACAACAGACTGAACACAGACCCACAGTCAGTGGATGTGATCAACTCTATGAGGCTGCTTGTGATTTTGGTCCATCCTTAAAAAAAACAGGTTGATAAATGTGATTGATTGATTGATTGATCTTCTGATTTCAGCCCAACTATATAAAGTGTCTTGAGATAATGTGTGTTTTGATTTGGGCCCATTCAACTAGAATAGAATAGAATTAATGCCACATTATGCTACAGACGTGTTTATATGGACACTGATAATCCACTTTAACTTCACTGCTTCCAGTTTGTTTGATAAGATTTATTCTGTAAATTGTATATACACTTCATTTGCGTTAATTTAAAGCCAAAGCAGCAAAACAACATGAAATAATGAAGTGAATGACACAACAAAGAAGGAAACACACAACCTGAGTGTAAAACCACAGACATGAGGGTTCTGAATAACATGACAACCATAACAACTGAAACAGTAACAACCACTGGTTTCACTTCTTTTACATTTTTGTGTTAAAATGTTGAAGAAGTGCCGTCATCGTGTTGTTAGGAGGAAAGAAATCGATGTGCAGCGACAGGAACTTTTACTAAATAAAAACAGACGTGATCATGTTGAGTTCAGTGGTTACTGAGGAGGAAGTGGAGGAGGAGGAGGAAGAGGAGGAGGAGGAGGAGGAGGAGGAGGGGTTGACCAAAGAGATCACCAAACCTGAACCATGCTGCCTTCAGGGAGTATAGTTGGTTATGTGGTTTGTCCCTCAGACTGTATATAAAGATGGTCAACATGGCAGCGCCCCCTGGTGGCTGGCTGCACTATCAATTACAAACACTGACTCCTCCATGGTAGTGGATGGGACATGGGCCAAATTAAAGTTTTCTCCTCTTGGTTTCTGTCATTATATGTAGTTCTCATCACACTGATGTTTGTCCGATGATGAACAGTGAAACGTTATGATTGACAGCTGATTGACAGCTGATTGACAGCTGATTGACAGCTCTATGGTTACTGCTGAGAACAAGATGGCAGCGTTTGTTTTCGGCATGTTTTGGTGTCCTAACAGGAAGTGGAGACACGCCGTCCACCTTTCTGTACAGTCTATTGTTTGTCCATGTGTTGCTTATCTTACTGGACCAATGTCAGGGTTTGAAGGACGAATGGAGGCTTGTCACCTTGTACTTTCCTCCAAACTTTAAAAGTTGCTCTCCGTCCTATGGGATCATCTAACAAGACTCTTATCCTCGTGTCACCTCAACATATGCGACCTTCTTCAATCGTAGAATAAGACCGAAACCAGTCAGTGCTCGTTCATCACCAGCAAACTGACAACAAAGCACTGCTTTTTCATTTAGAGCATACTTCCTTGACTTCCTGTGTATTTTCTGTGCTCGACTCTGCCTCAAACACTCAGACGGTTCACTGCCAGATTCAGTCGGTTCAGCAGAACCTCACAGAGCTGCAGCAGCGTCATGCAGAAAGACCTCCAATACATTGAGACGCTTTACGGTCTTGACAGCAACTGTTTTTAATCCTGTCCTCCCCTCGGCCTGGAAACGAGCCACCACTCGGAGCCGTTGAATTCAAACTCTGCTCCCGTGACCCATTTCAAAACCACCCCACCCTGGTTTCAATTGCTAAATTACAGGATGATGACATTGATTATTTGCTGGACTGTGTTTCTGTGCACATTTGTACGTTAAGGGTGTGTTTGGTTAACAGATGCAAGTTTGTCTGAGTTTGCAGCACTTTTTGCCTGAGTGTTATCTGCAGGGAGAAATGGCTCCACTGTGGAGTTTCCTGATTCTGCTGATAACACTAATGCGCTGACTTCAGGAATTTTTTATTTACAAAAGCTCTTAGTGCAGATTTTGGAATTCTTTGTTTCCACAGAAGAAGATTTCCTCTCAGGCCAGTTCAATGAATTTTTACTGTTTGGTTTTCCACACTCTCAGGTAGCTCTTTCCAAGGAAATGTCCTGTGAAGTGTCTCTCAGCCTTTTTTGTTCAGGGAAGTTTTCCACTCGAGCTGCAGTTACAGTTGAGGAGAAGAGAAACTGGTGAAAATCTAATAATCAGGTAGAGACTCTTAAATCTAATTTTATTTTAAAACAAATTCCTCAAAGTCAATGCACAGTGTAATGATATAATACAAAGCTCACTGTTGTTTAGCAAATGTCACTCGTCTTCAAACTGGCTCAAAAGAAGAACTCCATATTATCAGACTTCTTTTAAAACACATTCTGCTGTGGAGTTTGAAACAGACTCTGCCGGTTCAGTTTTAGTTGAAGCTTCATTTTATTGTGCAAACACCCACTTCTACTTCCTGATCGGTTCTTATTCGTTCTGTCAGTAACAGTTCCACCCCCTCAGAAAGGAAAGTTTTGTATTTTCCATCACAGATGTTACATTTTTGCCTCTGTACATTTATATGTTTGTTTACGGCAGCGTGCACATGTGTGTTCATGTGATTTGCATTTGCAGGTGTATTAGTGTGAAAATGATCGTCGTGTGAATGTTGCCTGAGTCTCTGTACATTACTTACATTGATTCATTGCCTCGTTTTACTTGCCCGTGTGTTTTGCGATCGACAGGTAAACATCTGGATGCTTAGCATTAGCAGTGGAAGCTACCGTTGCACAACAGAGTGAGATGCTAGAGGGATGAATGCTTCCAGATATGCAGAAAACAGAGAAGTTGAAAATCCAGACTGCCTCGAACGCCTCATCTGATCAATAACAGATGAGTTCAGGGGCAGATATCATTAATTTGTCTCCCTCCTCTAACAGCGGTGCCAACACTTACCCACAATTAACCACTGCTAATTACCCCGTGACACTCAAATACTGTCGAAGTACCGCGGAACTTTGTTTCACCCGAGCCGCCACCTCGTCCCTCCGCTGTGACCTTGACTCGGGCAGCAGGGAGGAGAGAGAGGATGAAAGATGAGCCTCCTAATGGTCAAACTCTTCTGTTTTATGTTCTCCGCACATACATTGAATTGTAATTATTGGTTTAATTACCTCTTACATCAAGGGCACATTTTACACACTGTACCCACCGTGGTCAGATTGACTTATCGAGGGGCGAGCGGGGCCACGGGGCCACAGGTTGACACCCACCTCACAGTGGTTCGTCCTTGGTCTCAGCCAGACATTTATATTTTATTTTTTAAGCCCTAATTAGGTTTAAAGACTCTCTTTAAAACCAATTAAGACCTAACGCAACACAGGAGAACCTCTGTGGTTGGCAGAGGAATACAGCGACGGGACATCTCTTGTATTTTTTATAGCTTTAGATTCTACTGAGTTCCAAAAAAAAAAGTGAATTCGTATTATTAACGTTGACTTGACAACCTCCGAATGGTGGGGGTGCAGTTAACTCCTACTCTGTCTCACAGCTCTCAGTTCATGCGGCCATATCACTTTAGTTTTTCCTACCTTCTTTTTTCGCAAAACAAATTCCGACTCTTCCAGCCAACTCGATTTAAAGCTCCTGTGAACGTGTGAGGGCTCGAGCAGCTGAAGTGGCTGCTAAACTACACAGATTTATCCGCACAATTATCCAGCATGTGGCTGGTGTTAGTGTCCAACTGTGGTTGTGGTACAAAGCACAAATACTGTACAGTATTTTTTATTATTTTTTTAACTCCCCAGCACTCAATCTGCTGCGGCTGACGAGCTGTGATCTGACTCTTGTTTCTTGGTTTCAGGTCTGGAAGCGTCGCCACCAACTGGTTCGAGATTTACTCGTTTGTGAAGAACCTCACCGACAGATTTGTGAGGTAAGCATGAGGTCACAAGCGTCCAGTCATGTCTTCTGTGGAAGTGTGATATATTTATTAATGTGCATCAGGGAGTGTTTCACAATGCTCATATTATGAAATAAGAAAATAAAGAAGTGAAAATCACACTTTACACAATTCTGGCTTTGCACGGAGCAGAGGCGAGGCAGTAATTTAATGTTTATAGCGACATGGAGTTATAGCAGTGAACATATAATAAATCAATAAAAACTCAAGTACGTAGTAAATACAAGGATTTAATGCCAAGAAAGATCTTCACCATCTCCTGAAAAGTTGTCGTCGACACAAGTGACGGCAGTGAATAGAAACAAATGATAAGTTAACATCACTGTGATTGTTTTATGGGATGAACGTCAATAATTTACAAGCGGGCGACTGTTTAAAGGACTTCCCACCTGTTTTAATTTGCATAAACCACGGCTTCCTTTCTCTACATAATTCATTAAATAAAAAATGACCAAAAAAAAAATCGGAGAAACCGGCTTGAAACGTTCAGCTTGCATAACGTTTGAGTCAAACGGCGCCTGCCAGCACAGTACAGACGGTGGCGACCCAGCCAGAATGAAGTGGTTGGTTGAAGAAAATAGCAAATGCACCAGGTGGGAGTGGGTGGCAGAGAGGAGCAGTCTTCTGGGCTGTGAGAATGGCCATTTGCACCGGGGAGGGGAGAGGAGAGTGGTGGCGGTGGTGGGGGTCCGGCTCCACACTTATGCCCCTGCTTCCACCACCGAGCGGCTGACGAGCAGACAATGTACAGTAAAGCAAAAGAACACTGGAAGGCGACGAGGACAATCTGCTAAACAATGCTCGCTCACCAAGAGCACTTCTGTTCCGCCATGTGGAGCAAACTGGACTCCCTTCTTCACCTCCCCCCAACTCCAACTCAGATCCCACCACCTCCCCCCTGATTTGTCCTTGGCATCGCCGCCTCTTTATCCCAACTCTTCCTCACAAGTAGAAAATATCAGCAGAAGAGGTAACGTACACGAGTTTCTACGATGAGTCTCCACCCACGGTTTCTCCTCCGTGAGTTTTTTAGTCCACATATGACTGAAAGTTGCAGACAGGATGTGGATGTATGCGGCTGCTAACGCTTCTCGCCAAATCTGTCCGTGTGGCCTAAAGATTGTGCTATGTTTGCGGGGGAGTATCGCGGCTGGGCCATGTGTCATGTGGGTGAGAAATATCAGCACCTCTCCTTATGCTCCGAACGATTCAGATCCCTGACGGAAACACTGCAGCGCTTAATTATCTGAAGTTTGAGTGTGTGTGTGGAACACAGGTGGGAAGTTACTCCAGTCCAAAACTTCACTGCTTCAGAACTTGATTTGGTTCTTTCCTGGGATACGTTTGACTGTTATACTTCACTTTGTACTTTTATACGAGGGCTGAACACTCGATTTAATTCATACAGCACTTTTTAACACACAGTTACAAAGAACTTCACGTGGTTGAAACAGGATCCAAACGTTTCAGGACTGGATTTGATCAGAGGATAAAATATTAAATGATTAAATTAAAACAATAACAATAAAATAATACAAATAATAAAA